TTTTCAAAGTATATGAGTTCCAACGGATTCATATAAGCAACATTCAACATCAATTACTCAACAATGTTTAAGGAAGAACGTAACTAAGAATGATTCAAGTGATTTTTTATCACATTTTCTAAAAGAATGATTCAAGTGAGTCTTTACCACATTTTCTAATTCAATGGATTGAAATTGCAATTTGAAGGGCAAAAAAGAGAGAGGAGGTTTTGGAAGTGCTTGAGATCCTATTACCTGTCATACACCATCCACCTTAATTGTGGTTGAATTGAAGCCCAAAGGTCAAGTTTATATTAACCTGTCCAGTCTCCAATAACTATTTTTTTTGGGTAAAAAAACAATAATTTCAATACATACTAGTGAGTCTTCAATTTCATAATCCCCATAACCTATTCATATAAAATTTATTAAAGTGGTAAAATCAAATGTATAACATTGGAAGTAAATGATTCGGTGAAATATCATATGGTTAAGATTCAGAAAATTTATTAAATGCTTTCATGTTTTTTTTTTTTTTTTTTTAAAAGGTAAATGTTTCTGTTTTTATTACAATTAGTATCAAAATAACCCACGTGTTTTTATTCAAAACAAAATAATAATAATAATAAATAAATTATATATTCATGAAACAAACAAATAGAATTCATGAATATAAATCTATATACGCATAAATCTATGCGTATATAGATTTATATTCATGAATTCTATTTGTTTGTTTCATGAATATATAATTTATTTATTATTATTATTTTGTTTGTTTGATCTGTTAATTTATGGAATGAAAATCGGATCATAATGAATAAAAATAAAATAATAAAATACATGTTCGCAGCGGCTTGCATTGACAGCCGCTTGTGATCTGTTTTCACCCATGTGATGGGCTTAATGTTTTATGCACTTATCACAATGATTGCGCACTGATAGAAGGCAATTTTTGATTGCCTCTAGAATCGCGCCCATGTGATGAGATGGGCCGTTTATGAAATGAAAATCGGATCATAATGAATAAAAATAAAATAATAAAATACATGTTCGCAGCGGCTTGCATTGACAGCCTCTGGTGATCTGTTTTCGCCCATCACCCACGTGATGGGCTTAGGGCCTGTTTGGAGTTTGTAGTGTGGTGTGGTGTAGTGCTTTAGCCTAAAACAGAATAAGTGTTTTGTAGTGTGGTGTTTTGAAATGAGAACAAAACATGTTTGGCGCGTTACAATTGCTTTGAGAATTTTGGAACAAAAATATGGTAGAACATGTTTGGCAATGTGTTTCGTTCTAAGAATTATGAGAACAAAACATGTTTGGCAAAGTTAAAGTGTAACCAAAATCAATAAAAAAATATTATTAAAAATTAAATATATAGTAAAAATTAATTATTGCATTATTTTAATATACAATTAATATAACATTTAATATATATATATATATATATATATATATATATATATATATTGTTAAAAATTCTTCTTAATTTATTATAAAAACCAATAAAATATATTCTAAATTTTAAAACTTATTAATGTTGCATATTATTTTGACAGCATTATTTCAATATCGAACTGAAATAAACTTTCAATATATTAAACATTACATGAAATTGTATATATTACAGATATTAGTTTCATAAATATTACATCATTTGTCAACATGCACAATAAAAGTTAGTACAAAATAAAATTAAACTAATATATTACATCATTTATCAACAACCACAATAATCAACAACAACAACATGAGAAATGACATAAAGAATATAGTTATAGTAAGACAACAACAACAACCATAGATAATGTAATTTTGCCGATTTTGTTGAGCTTGCATAACAGCAACTACATCCTCCAACTCTTCCTCCACATGACCACCCACTTGTAGATGTTGGTGTATGTCATCCACCCATATAAATGCACGAGCATGTGACTAAATCAGAACAAAGACTTGTATATTATTAGAGTGCACTTGTGACACACACATGTAGTTAAAAAAAAATTATTAATTAAAAAAAAAATGTATACCTCCCAAGCTGGACATCTATAGAATGAACGTCCATAATTCTTTGAAGTTGCAGCCGTATAAAGATTCATTCGACCCCTTCCACATGCACACGGTGGCCCGTCACCCTGTATCTTATGCATGACTGCATATACAAGTTATTAAACTGATCCAAAAAAGTTAAAAGTGAAAATTAAAATAAAATAAAAAAGATAATCATGTAGTTACCACAACTTTTACATTTACCGAAATCGTAAATTAATGTTAAAATAAATATTTTATTACAGTTATCCAAATCCATACAAATAGTTAAAATAAAGTAGTTGTTACAGTTATCCAAATACTAACAAATGGAACAAGTATAAAGTAGTTCTTACAGTTATTCAAACATGATAAACATGTAAATCCTTGTTCAATGGTGCTGACTTGCATTCCATATAGTGTCAGCAATATTATCGCGTAGAATATCCATTGGTCGCGAGCGAGACTGCGATGCATTAGGCGGAACATCAACTTCATCATCTCCAAAAATTTCATCTATCATCGCCTCCACCGTTGCATCATTAAATATTGGATCTACATGCGCCTCCTTTCTTATAAAGTTATGAAGTGTGCAGCAGGCTAACACAATAGCAACTTGAGCTTCAAACTTATATGGGGGCATTTGCTTCAAGATGGGGAATCTCATCTTAAGCAACCCAAAACAACGCTCAATTATATTTCGTAATGACGAGTGCCTGTGATTATATATTTCCTCTCTACCTTGAGGTTGGCGAGAAGCTCTACGGTACTCTTGGAAGTGGTACCGTTGGCCCCTGTAAGGGGCCAAGAAACCCGGTTGATTGGCATACCCGGAGTCGACCAAATAATATTTCCCTACCATTTTACAAACTATAAACCACATTTTTTTACCATGATATTTTAAATAAGTATTACAAAATTATAGTAAGTATGACATTTACCGTCTGGAGGCATTGGGAAATGCAAATCCTCATTATTAATGGTCTCGTTCAATATCTTAGAATCATTAGCAGACCCCTCCCATCCTGCTACGATGTACGTGAACATCATATTAAAATCACAAACAGCCATTACATTTTGTGTGGTATCTCCCTTCCTACCACGAAATGGTATTTGCTGGTCCATAGGCACGTTCGCATGGACATGAGTTCCATCAATTGCCCCTACGCAATGCCTAAAAAAAGGGTGGTACTTTTTGTTCTTCTTTATATGGTTAGGAACTTCGCTAAAATCTGGGGCGATAATAATCTGTTTCCCTAAATCACAGACTTTTTGTAAAACTGCATGGAAGTATTTTGAAATTGCATAGGTGGAGTGTTGAAATCTTTCGGCGACCACACGATTTCTTTCATTATGACCTAAAGTAAGCAAGAATATGCCAACTTGTTCATAAACACTTACACCTGTAGAGTCTTTCAACCCTAATGACTTAAGCTCCCCACATAACTTCAGAAAAACAGAGGTGGACATCCTGAAATTTTCAAAACATCTATTTTCATGCCCCTGCAAGATTTCCATTATATATGCTTCCCCAGTTAAAAGAGAATCCCTACAAGGTTGTTTATCGTAATGTTTCCTATAATACTCTAACATGCATGCCATTACGATGACACAATCATTCTCCTCATCACCATCGTCATACAAATCAATTATTGTCCTAATATCCATCTGTATAAGTCAAAATTTAATAAACGAGATTAATTACAATCATCCCAAGCGAAATACCAAATAATAAATAAAAGCAAGACAACAAATAAAGTCAAATCAGTTCATTAAATAGTTATATTGTCATGAGCTTCAAACTAAATAACATAAATACGAGTGTACTTAATATTACAATCAATTAAAGTCATAACAACACCAAATAAGAAATAAAAGCAACACATCAACTAAAGTATACTTAATAGTACAGTCATCCAAAATCATAATAAAAGCAACATACCAAATTAAAGTCCATTGATCCAACTAACCCTCTTATCATCAGGACAGTCATTAAGAAAGAAATCCCTCCAAATTTCATCATTGCGTAACATCTGGGTGACCTTACCATATTGTTTCATATTAACACCCTCCAAGTTATTCAAAATATAACAACATAACTTAAAATCACTTTTTGTCTTGTCGGGAGAATTGACTTCAACCTCCACATTTCCTTCATTAACTGTAATAATATTAGATGATGAAGAAGCGACTATAGCTCTTTCAATTCGATCTGCTTTCTCTCTATTTCTCTCTTTCATATAGTGCATGAGCTCGCTCATTGTGGAGGCAAAACTCTCTCTCTTTGGTTTCTTACCACGAGGTTCAGGAGAAGGACTGAACTCATGACCGCGTAACTCAGCAAAATCATCATTAAGGTCAAATGAGGTATGTATGTCTGCATGGTGTGCGGGGGCTTGGTTCATAATGGGTGGACTACACAAAGTATGGACATGTGCACCTGTAGCGTGTGTGCCTCCAAATATGGTGGTGAGCTTGTCAAAATGATTGCATCGCTTCTTTCGATACTTACTATATTGGGCATTCACCTACAAATTATTAAATTACTATTAATATTAAGATAAGTATACTTTTTTGTAAAATCAACAGACATTTATTTTAATAACTAACCTTGATCAATCTACTCCATCTTTCTTTTTCAACTATAACCATGCCTGTCTCAGCATTGAATCCCACGCCTGTTTCTCCTAACAGACTCACAAACGCTTTGTAGTCTGTTCTCAAGTGGTTGAATTTACTCTTAAGTTGTTTCAGTACAAGATTGTTGCCTATACGGACCATCATGCCTTTTAGTATATTCTTCCAACCAATTGCACTAAAAGTTATGTTACTCCGATTACCAGCCTTCACTTCTTCCTCCATACAGATGATGAAAGCTTCAACCTGAGAATCATCCCATACTAGTTTTCCATCATCGGTATTGTCTGTAAGGTCCTCTATTTCTTCTCCCACCACATTGTCAGCATTGATATCCATCTAATTACATAGTTTTAATAAAAATGTGTTAAAAGGGTCATACATGCTCTAAAACTCTCCATCTTCCCCATTACCAAAATCTTAAATCGCAATACATAAGAGATTTAAAAAAAAAATCTTAAAGAAGTGTAGTCTCTGGGGGTTTTTCACATCACTTGTAATACCTTCTTTTTGCTTGGTTTTTATTCAAGCCTTACCATTCAGACTACAAAAATGACAAAAACTTTGAAAAGCTCTCCTTTTTTATTCTGATTTCATTCTCTTGCACCCTTATTTTCCTTCTTTTTTTTTAAAAAAAAAAAAAAAATTCCATTTAGGAGCAGTAGTACTACCAGTGAGGCCAAGATGGCTCAGGGGTCATCAGCTCCTTTGAATATTCCTGACTGGTCAAAGATTTACAGAAACAGTACTGCAAAGAAAGGTGATGATGTTTATGGCTATGGGGATTATTATGATGTTGTTGATGATGATGAAATGGTGCCTCCACATGAATATATAGCTAGGAAGCTTGCAAGAAGTCAGGTTTCTTCTTTCTCCATGTGTGAAGGGATTGGAAGGACACTCAAAGGAAGAGACCTCAGCAAAGTGAGGAATGCGGTTTTAACCAAGACTGGTTTCCTAGAAGAGTAATGTTATTGAGGCCTAAGAGTTTGAACGATCCGTATCCAGTCTTCGACTTTGTATATTGTTCAAACTCTTTGACTGTAAAATTAATATCGTTCTTAAAATGATGGCTTAAATTAATCTCCACCATCATTATCATTTTGTGGCATGATTACTAGTGATCATGATCAGTGGTTGTCATGGTGTGACCATCATGGGTAAGGGTACTTAATTTGTGGAGTAATTTTTTTTTGCTGTTATTTTATTTATTGAATTTGGTATTTGGCATATTATGTAACTTAGGTGAGTAGAGCTAGAGCATTGAGTTTCTATAGGAAATCAGAGCTGTCCTTTCTCCTTTGAAAAAAAAATAATAATAAATAAATAAAAATCTGTGATAGTCTCTGAAATTTTGTTCACTAGATGTGTATCACGAAATATGAAAAGGACTTTCCCAAATATATATATATATATATATATATATATATATATATATGAAAAGGAATTGGTTTATCTTCATGCATGCTGTATATTTTGGCTGCTTTTGCATTTTACTGTTATTAGCTTGTAATTATTTAAATTAGTAGGCAGTAGTTCTCTTAATAGTGTTTGAATATAATGTTAATAATGATTTACGCTCATTTTTCATGTCTATAAAGACTTGAACCTTCACCCTATCACTTTGGAACACTAAAAGTACTACTGGGTAGTCTGGGTTACAATTCTTGAGTGCAGATGTTTGTTATATAAAATGAAGATGGGTCACAAGATTGAACCTTCGCCTTATCACTTTGGAACACTAAAAGTACTACTGAGTAGTCTGGGTTACAATTCTTGAGTGCTTTGTTTGTTATATAAAATGAAGATGGGTCACAAGATTGATAGGCAAAATTAAAAAAAAATTAAAAAAAGAAGAAGAAGAAGAAGATTGATAGGTAAGCATATATTTATTATTGAAGAAGAATTTTTTTTTTGGTGTTGATATGATATCTTAACTTAATTCTTAATTACTTACCCAACACTCTGTATTCATAGCCACCAAAAGATGAAAGACTTCTTTAAGATTTAAAAAAAAAAAAAAAAAAATTGTTTCTAGTTTATAAAAAAAAAAAAATAGGGGTTAAAGTCATAAAAGCTCCCTCAACCCGGTTGATCGTGCATAAAATTTCCAAACTCATAAAACTTATTAAGTTACCTTAAACTCCTATTTTTTTGCTCTGAGAATTTTCTCATCAATATAAACTGAAATAACATAAAAAATTGTAAGAAATCTCAACATACCAAGATGAGAGAGAAGAGGAAATAGAGACAGAGCTTGGGTAAACCGAGAGTGCAGAGAGCAGCAGCGAAGCTTGGTTTCGCCGAAAAATGCAGAGGTGAGACAGACGGAGGTCAGATCTTCATACAAATATGGTCGATTTGAAGCCCGATCTTCAAACAACGGAGTTATAGTTAGACAGAGCACAAGGAAAACCAGAAGAAGAAGCAGAGGAACTCACCAAAGAATGAAGAAGACGACCTTCAGATCTGATTCAACCCCACTGTAGTGACAAGAAGAGCACTGTGACTCGCCTCTGGAACAGCTTGCTTCGTGAACCTTACAAAGTGATCTGCGATTTTTTATACATGTGGTCAAAAGTGAGTATTTTGTTCTGATAGCTACAGTATTATGTGGGCCGATACAGTATGGGAACAAGCAAGAACACCTATTTCTTGTTCCAACAATTGGCCCATTTTTGCCAAATGTTCCAGCACTATTTAAAACAATACAAGCCATGCCAAACACGTTTTGGATCAGAACAGTAGAATTTTGCACTGTTGGAAAGGGAGTAGAACATGATAGAACAATGCTCAAACAGGCCCTTAATCTTTTATGCACTTATCACAGTGATTGGGCACTGATCGAAGGCAATTTTTTATTGCCTCTAGAATTGCGCCCATGTGATGGGATGGGCCGTTCATTATAAAGGGGTTACAATATACTATTGATCCATAAGATGGGCTTTTCTTAACGGTGACTATATATATATATATATATATATATATATATATATATCAGACAATGGGGCAGCGCAGATATATATATATATATAATTTATTCTATTGATTCATAAGATGGGCTTTTCTTAACAGTGAAAATACAGGAATATATATATATGTATATATTATTTCTGTATTACAAGAAAACGCTCTCTATGAATAACAGGCAGTGGCTGCCTCTGCGCTCCCCCTTTGTCTAATATATATATATATATATGGCCCATTTTTGCCAAATGTTCCAGCACTATTTAAAACAATACAAGCCATGCCAAACATGTTTTGGGCCAGAACAGTAGAATTTTGTACTGTTGGAAAGGGAGTAGAACATGATAGAACAATGCTCAAACAGGCCCTTAATGTTTTATGCACTTATCACAATGATTGGGCACTGATCGAAGGCAATTTTTTATTGCCTCTAGAATTGCGCCCATGTGATGGGATGGGCCGTTCATTATAAAGGGGTTACAATATACTATTGATCCATAAGATGGGCTTTTCTTAACGGTGACTATATATATATATATATATATATATATATATCAGACAAAGGGGCAGCGCAGATATATATATATATAATTTATTCTATTGATTCATAAGCTGGGCTTTTCTTAACAGTGAAAATACATGAATATATATATGTATATATTATTTCTGTATTACAAGAAAACGTTCTCTATGAATAACAGGCAGTGGCTGCCTCTGCGCTCCCCCTTTGTCTGATATATATATAACGGTGACTATATATATATATATATATATATATATATATATCAGACAAAGGGGCAGCGCAGATATATATATATATAATTTATTCTATTGATTCATAAGATGGGCTTTTCTTAACAGTGAAAATACAGGAATATATATATGTATATATTATTTCTGTATTACAAGAAAACGTTCTCTATGAATAACAGGCAGTGGCTGCCTCTGCGCTCCCCCTTTGTCTGATATATATATATATATCAGACAAAGGGGGAGCGCAGAGGCAGCCACTGCCTGTTATTCATAGAGAACGTTTTCTTGTAATACAGAAATAATATATACATATATATATTCATGTATTTGTGTGATGAGATACTCACGTGATGGCTGGATTGTGGAGTTACATTTTATATTTTTGTCACACAGTTACGTGCCCATGTGATGTGATGGGCTATTGTTACAACGTAACACAAACCATGTATCTATTTACCCTATAAAAATATATTCTATTTATTTTTATATATATATATATTTCAAATAACTATTAATATTTCTTCTAAAAGTCACCATTTATTATTTATATACAATTAAATCATTTAATTTATTTTAATAAATAAATGTGACTTTTCAAATAACTATTAAAACCTCTTCTAAAAGTCACATTTTAACTGTACTAACACTTCTTCTAAAAGTCACATTTTAACTGCAAACACATATTTGTTCAACCACATATATATATATAATTCATATTACCCTATATCTCACTCCTCTCTATTTCTTTCCATCTCTCTTTGAAAAGAATTTTTTCACAAAAAGTTTGTTAGAGGTTTCTTCCTCCACGAATAATTTCAACGGCTTTGAGAGGAGACTCGTCTTTTGGTTCATGTACATTAAATTACAACTCAAAACCCTTTTAATTTTTTTTTAAAGGTATGTTTTAATTTGAATTGAATAAAAAATTATATATTTTATCTTTCTATCTAATCATATATATATTTATATTGTTTCATATATAATTAGTATATGAGGAGTTATTATATTTTATATGTTCTCCTAATATTTCAGTTATGGAATTCTTTTATTTCGATGTGAAAGAAAAATGCATGAATATTAAATTTGTTCTATTCAGAAAAATTACATGGATAAAATATCTATTTACCCTATAAAAGTGTATTCTATTTGTTTTTTTATATATACATTTTTTTTTAATAAGAATATATATACTTTTCAAATAACTACTAACACATCTTCTAAAAGTCACCATTTATTATTTATATACAATTAAATTATTTAATTTATTTTAATAAATAAATGTGACTTTTCAAATAACTACTAACACCTCTTCTAAAAGTCACCTTCTAACTGCGCGAACACTTCTTCTAAAAGTCACATTTTAACTGCAAACACTTATTTGTTCAACCATATATATATATATATATATATATATAACATTCATATCACCTTATATCTCACTCCTCTTTATTTCTTTCCATCTCTCTTTGAAAAGAATTTCTTCACAAAAAGTTTGTTAGAGATTTCTTCTTCCGCGAACAATTTCAACGGCTTTGAGAGAAGACTCGTCTTTTGGTTCATGTACATCAAATTACAACTCAAAGCCCTATTAATTTTTTTTTTTTTTTTTCAAATGTATGTTTTAATTTGAATTAAATAACAATTTATATATTTTATCTTTCTATCTAATCACATATATATTTATATTGTTTCATATATAATTAGTATATTTTAGTTATGGAATTCTTTTATTTGATGTGAAAGAAATATGCATGAATATTAAATTTGTTCTATACAGAAAAATTACATGGATAAAATATATGAAATATTATATTTTATATGCAATATACCTGTACAAATATATATAGATAACTGACGCTTATAATCATTGATTGAAATGTTAGTTAGTTATCCCTTATAAAAGTAGATTTTATTTATAATATTTATATATATTTAAATAAGATATTTTATTAAAAAAAATAAAGTGACTTTTGGTGTTTTAAGGTGACTTTTGAGGCTTTAGTAAAAGTTAAAATAGTTCTATTAGTGGTGTTTGAAACATCACGCCTATTGAACTTTGCGGGTTACAACTTATATAATGTCAGTTTTACAGCATATTTTTTTAATCGCAGTCTTTCTCTCTTTCTATATATATCTTATATTAATGGTGTCTAAAACTTTATGCATGTTGAAATTTGTATCTTGCAAACTATATAATCTTAGTTTGACATTCATTTTTCCCTATAGTAGTTTGCTCCCTCTTTCTATATCTCTCTATGCAAAAATATCATCTGCAAAAATTATCAAAGGTTTTTTCTCATGTTCCAAGGACAATTTTAAAACTAGAGATTCTATTTGGTTCTTG